CATGTTTATAGCAGCATAGTTTGTAATAGCTACATTTTGGAAGCAACCCAAATGCCCATCAACCCATGAATGGATAAAAATGACAAGTTTTTAAAAAATATAATAGAGCATGACTCAGCCATAAAGAAGGATAAACTTGAGACATTTCTAGGAAAATGGATGCACACTGAGACTATACTCTTAAGAGAACTAAACTGGACACACGTGTAAATATCATATTGTCTCTCTAGTGTGAGAAAATGAAAGTGTAAATAAGGACCAAAATGTATATTAGATGTGAAATAGGAAGCAACTGTTCAAAAGAAAGAAGAACTACAGGTTGGGGGAAGGAAGGAAGGGAAATGAAAAATGGATAATATGGAAACAACACTTTGTAAATAAGGAGGGGGAATGTGGTTGAAGAGAGAGGGGAATGGGAAGAAAGAGGAATCAAGATGTATCATGTACAGATACCAATTCCCTATGATGAATGTGATCATTATGCAAATCTAAATTGTATCAATAAACTTAACTTTAAAAAATGATTACAGTCCTGGGCAACATTAGCAATGCAGGGGGCATTATAATCCTGGACTTTAAGTTTTATTGCAAACTGACAGTGATGAAAACAGCATGGTACTTGTGAAAAAAACAGACCTGTGGATCAATGGAACAGCATTGAGGATACAAAAAACAAAACAAAACAACTTTCAGATATTTGAACTTTGAAAAACATACAAAAATAACCTCTTCAGTAAATGGTTCTGAGAAAGTTGGCTATCCCATGCTGAAGATTGAATGCAGACTCATACATCTAAAAATAGATTTAAAGGGAGGGGAGGGGCAGGGATTTAGCTCAGTGGTTCTGCTGCCTGCCTTGCAAGTGCAAGGACCCAAGTTCTATCTCTGGTACCAATAAATAAATAAATAAATAAAAATAAAATAAAAATAGATTAAAAAATCTCAGTGCCAAAACAGCGAAAGAAAAATAGGTAAAACTCTTGAAGACATAGGTGTAGGCAAGAACTTTCTGAATAGAATCCCAACTGCACAAGATAAAACAGCAAGAAGTGATATCATACCAAATTAAAAAGCTTCTGCACAACAAAGGAAACAACCAGCAGAGTGAAAAGACAACCTAAAGAATGGCAAAAAATTTTTTTCCAGCTATACATGAGAAAGAGGACTAACATCTAGAATACATAAAGAACTCAAAAAAATTATACCCCAAATAAAAAACCCAATTAAAAAATGGGCAACAGAAATGAATAGATACTTCTCGGAAGTACAAATGTCCAATATATATGTGAAAAATGTTCAACATCCCTTGCCATTAAAGAAATGCAAGTTAAAACAATACTAACGTTCTACCTACTCCAGAAAGAGTGGTCATGATCAAGAAATCAAATAATAACAAATGCTGGTAGAGCTATTTGGAAAAAGAAACTCTTTTACATTGCTGGGAATGTAAACTAGTATGACCTCTATGGAAATCAGTATGGAGACTCCTCGGAAAACTAAAACTAGAAATTCCAATAGACCCAGCTATTCCTCTTCTAGGCATCTTCCCAAAAGAATTAAGGATACTATATTACAGTGTTACATGCATAGCCATGTTTATAACAGCATAATTTATAATAGCTAAATCTTGGAAGCAGCTCCTATGTCCAACAGCAGATGAATGGATATAGAAAATGTATTTATAAACAAGGAAGGACTACTTTGCCATAAAATAGGATAAAGTAATTTGTAGGAAAATGGATGTTACCTTCAGACCATAATGTTAAATGAAATATATCAGCCACTGAGCTTAAATATCACATTGTTTCTCTTATATAAAAAAACTCAAAATGTAAATAAAAAGCACCAAAAAAGATAGATAATATGAAGCAAGGAGCTAGATCTTTTGCAAAAGGGAAGGGGTCCCAGAGATGGAGGGAGGTGGCCTCTCTGGTGACACAGCTCCCTTTCCCCAGACCTGGCTCTGGACTGGCTTAGAAGGAGCTGGAATAACACTGGGGTCCTACATGGCTCCTTCTCCCTGTGCAAATCTGACTCCAGGACTATGGCAGCAGATACCTGATATTCCACAATCTGTGTCATGAATTTGAATTCTGAGCTTGTGAAAAGGTATAAACTTCAAGGGACTCAAGTCCTTACATCTGCAGAATGGCAGTGTGAAGGGGTTGAGACAAGGTTGGAGATAGCATTTGGGCTTGGATGCAAAGTGTGTGTGGGGTCTAAGAAAGAAGGCAATTCAAGGAAAAAATTTATCTTTTAGAAGTAGGGGTGACACCCTCTGTGAAGAGCCAGATGGCAGATGATATAGGTTGTGCAAGTCATACTTCGTCTGCTGTAGGGCTCTGTCCTGCTGTGGGGTATCAAAGCCACCACAGAGAGGGAGGTCGTGCTCCAGTTAACACTGCATGTACAGAACAGCCCACCTCTGGTCTGCAGGCTGCAGGGGTCACCCCACCCCACAGACTACTAACTAGCTGCTCGCCAGCTCCATCAGGTGTCTCCAGGGCTCACTCTGCCCCTGGGCTGAGACTCCACTGCTCCCGGGGTCCAGCATAAAGCAGCTATTGGTGCACATCTGGGAGGAAGAATGTGCGGAAGGGGACAATGTTTACAGCAGACAAACCTCTCTTAACCCTTTCCAGCCCCTTGGCAAAGAACTACCGGCCTCATAGAGGAAAAGAAATCTTTGCTAACAACAGACAGCCAGAATTTGGCTGTCTGGCTTACAATTTCATTCCTAGTTAAAATGCAAACCCACAGGTCGATTCTGACGTCAAGTGAACCCCAGAAAGCAGAGCTACTGGAACACCCACAGACAATGCCCAGCCACGCACTTTGGCCTCCTTCGCCAAGGAGCAGCAGCTCTGGAGCCAGCTGAGGGAGAAAATGCTTTATTATTAGAAAATCTAAGAGTCTCTCTAGGCCTGAGCAGCACCATTAGGTGACGTCAATGGCTCAGGGTCTCTGAGCGCTGCATTTCCACTCTGCTCAGAACAATGCTGATTCACAGTAGTAAAGGCGTTTCTATTTAGAGCTAGAGGACAGAGGTGACCCTCACTTCTGAGGTCCCATGCAAAGGGGCTTGTCTGCTTTCCCTAGGCAACAGGAAGAATTCAAATGGCAGGGGGCTGGGACTGAGCCAAATTTATTCAAACTAAGGGCCAAGGGCCTTCTGCCTGCTAGGTACCCGGGCACTAAGACCCTAGAGAGGGCAGGGTGGTTTAGCACACAAATAAACAGCTATGACAGTGGGGAGGGGCTGATATGAGGCAGAGAAGGGACCTTGGAGACTTGGGGAGGAAGGCAGTACCTAATGCTTTATGGGCTGTACTCGAAGGACTGACAGGATTTGGGTATGTGGAATTACGGGGAACTGGTGACAAGAAGGCCGGAAATCCCATGCATGGAGGGTGGGGTGAGGCTGAATTAGTGGCAAAGGGGTACTTGATTTGGCACAGAGCTGTACTGATGGGAGAATAAATGGCCAACAGACCTATGCCCTGCCTGTGGATCCACAGCCCCAAAACGGTGGTTGGCACTGCTTGAGTTCAGCAGCTGTCTCTAAAACCACACCAGGATCGCCTGTCCTGTTCCCACTGCTTGTGTCGCCTCTCACACAGACCTTACTTTCCCTATGGCTACGTCTCAGTGTGGCTACTGGAAGAATTTTTTTTTTCCTGTGAAACCCATTCCTTTCCTTTCCTGGAGGTCTCCAAGGAATTGACTCCCTGCGTGACCTTCTGGTATTAACTGAACATTTCCTGACACTGAGATTAAATTCTCAGTGCTAACTAGTGTCCTGAGGTGCCAGCCAAAGTCTCTCCAGATGCAGGGCCACTGTCCCTCTGCAGCTCCTCAACACTGGGAGGGGCCGGGTGGCTCTCATCCTGACAGCCCGCACACAGCCCCTCACCTGGCCGGGCTTCACCTCATCTTGTACTTCACAGGTCCCCACTATGCACGACGCCCAGAAACACTGTTCTTTTCTAAAATCTTCAAAAATCTCCAAAGTCAAAGGCTACATTTTATACGTTTTCAAAGCTAGATTACGAATTATGTTTGTTTTATACTTTTTAACCAACAAATTATGAAGTATGAGTTAAAAATTCACATGATTAAGTAATGACAATATAAATTAAATAGAAAAAATACCTTTATTAGTGTTGCTTGCTGTTTTAAAATTACCATTAAAAGTTCCTAAGTACGGCAACTCACTAAAATTCTGTTACTTTAGAAGACATCATTCAAAAGTATTGCTCTACATTAGGGATCCCCAACCTGTGGGCCACAAGCTGTACTGTTAGGACCCAGGCTGCACAGCAGAGCTGAGTGGAAGGGGAGGGGCAGCCAGAGAAGATTACCCTGAACCTGTAGCCGGGCCTGTCCCCAGCATGCCTTGCTGAGCTCAGACCCTGTCAGAAGCATGAGATTCTCACTGGAGCTGGGAGCGTGAACCCTACTGGGAACTGTACATGTGAAGAAACTAGTTGTGAGCTCCTATGAATCATCCTTAAACCATACTATCCTCACCAAAAAATCATCTTGCAAGAAAATGGACCCTGGTGCCAAAAGGTTAAGGACCCCTTCTCGGCATGAATGGTTAAAAAAAAATTATCACAGTACTAATTTGGAAGGACTCTTAATTTTGATGTGACTTTATAGGGGTGAATGCCCAAATTTATATTTGTTTTCATTTATTTAAGAAATTATGATGGGAAATAGAATTTTTTGTTTGCTTGTTTGGAGGAAGAATTTTATGCTTTCATAAAGTGTGCTGTCCTGGAGAGGGAGCCACAAGGCCCAGCACAACCAGCGCGCACCAGTAATAAAGTAAGAGAGGCTTGCAGGGGAACTGTAAAAACTATCCACTGGAGCTGTCTAACTTTCCCATCAACCTTCTTAGCGGTAATGGCTGTAAGCTGTGGAAGACAAGCAGAGAGCAGCAGAAAGAAGGCAACAAAGGCCACGCTGACAGCAATGGAGAGAGCTGAATACTGTACCTGCTTATTCTTGTCAGTGGTACAACACAGCTTCTTGAGTGAGACAAAATGCCTAATTTTCCTAATAACATAAATAATCAGTGATTAGGGAATCAGACAGGAGACGATTCAACAAATCAGCAAATGAAATCATTAGAATCATCTTAAAGCAAAACTCAAGGGCTTTTCTTAGAACTCAAGCAAAACCCAAGCTGCAGAAAAACATTTCCTACACAAGTGCCCCGTACACCTCCAGGATGGGCGTCCTTGCTGATCCTTGCTGACTCACAAACAAACCTTCCTAGAGGCTGTTTCCCTTTGTAGCTGCCTCCTGAAGTTTGGGCTCTAAGTATTGTCAGTGAGAGGATGAGTTGCTACTGCAAATAAATTGGTTTTAATTCTGCTGACATGAATAATTTTACTGCTTATACAAAAAGCAAAAGACTTATTTGGACAATGTACAAATTTCATGGTTTTTGCATTAAATATTTCATATTATTTCACATTATGTTTGTCTTAATGGAAATATTTTTTTTTCAGGCTAATAAAATCCTTCTTATTTCAAAGTCATGGACAGCATGGCAATCTCAGCCCGTGGTCTTGCTCACTGCTAGCAAAATATGGCCTGAGCTGCATCTTTAGGCAAAAACTAACTCAGGGTAGATTTTCTACTGAGAGCAAAGGCATCAAATCTACAGATTATGTTAGACTCTGCACCCCAGCAGGATTTGGGATGCCCTCTTTCTTTATTTCTCTCTGGTTCACTTTTCTCTGGATGATGCTAAAAAGAGCCTAAAAAGTACCTGTTATTCTGTAATGAGCCCCACTCAAACAGGAAAGGGTAAAATCTCCTTACTTTTAATCAGACTTTCCTCTGATAGCTCACTGCCTACAGTTAGGGGAAATAACACTGGAAATTGTGCCTGGATAAAAGAATTTTTCTCTCATCTGTCAAATCAGAAAAATTTATTCTGACAAAATTAGTAGGCAGTAGGATGTTTCTTCTGCTTTGGTTACACAAAGATTGTGGTCACACACACACACACACACACACACACAAAAGTGGATCTTAGCCTCCATTTCCTGAGAAGATGGTCTAAAGATGATAAGAACAACATAAGTGCCGAGGGCATTATCTTCTTCCCGGGCTTTGTACACTGATGGTTGGTTGGGGATGGCCATGCTGAGGCCATGCCTGTCAGGATGAGGGACAGGGAAGCCTCTGTCAAGGTGGGTGACCCTCAGCTAGGGGCTTGTCCATGTCCAAAACCTCCAGCCAAAGGTGAGACAAAAGTTACAAAAGAGCACGACATAACAGGCAGTGATCTCTGAATTTAAAAGAGGATAATTTCAAACTAACCAAACAAGTAAAACTGGGGGAAAAACAATCTTCGAGTAGTTGGTGATTTTAAGAAATATCAAGTTTTCTAATCACACAAGTTTCAAGGAACTCAGATAGCCTTGAAAGTCATGAGTAAGACTCTTCTGGTTCTAGTTAATGGCATGAAAACCGCTATCTTATTTTTTAAAAAATGTCCCATATTATGTGTTCCTTGTAAAATCAAAACTCTCATGTTGGTTTTGACCCTCAGGCTCATTCATGAGGGCTCATTAACGAGGTGATCTAAGGGATCCTACTTGACTTTGAGAACCTGCACAACTGAACAGGGAGAAAGGAAAGTAACTGCAGAGTTTCTTTATCTCTTCACAAATAAACAGGTCTCTTCCCATTATCTGAGATCCTTGGAGTCAATAAGTTCAGCACCTTCCCTCTCCAGTCCTGGGTCTTGGGGACAGCAGGGCCACATATAATCAAGTGCAGGTGGGAAGTTGGGATGTGGAGGTGAGGTTTTGTGAGGCACCAGGAGCAGGAGCATGGGGGAGACCATGCTGGGGGATGCAGCTGACCAAGCAGAAGTGCCCTTGGTACCTACCACAGATGGCACAGCCTTAGTCATGTGTGTCTTAGACTCAGGCTGGCATTCCAATATGCCAAGCCAATGCCCACCCAGGCCCTGTGTGCTCAGCTGCATGGAAAAGCTGAAGAGTATGCTCTCACCCTCCTTGGCCAATCACTGGAGTGATCTTCACATGCTGTTGGATGCTGTCCCCGGACTTCCGTCGGGCATAGTAAACCCCCTGCCACTCCTACATGGACAAAGACAACTCTTAAAATCCTTCCATTAAGGCACATAGCTTCTCTTACAGAGGGCCTTCACAGGTTGAGTGAGAAAGTCCTCATGCGCTGTTGTGGCTTTTCTCCAAACTGCTGTATTGTTGCATGCTTGCAACACTGACATTGTCACAATGCATAAAGACAAGACTGAGGCCAACATGTCCACTGCCAGGATGCCTGTTCTAGGAGCCAAGACACCTAACCATGGGTGGAATTGCTGCCCTCATCCCTAGTGGTACCATGGTGCCAGGTCTGAGAAGTGTGCCCTGAGATCTTCATAACCTATGATCTTGATATCGTCATCCTGAATTTACAGATGGGTGAACTGAGGCTCAGAGACTAAGTGACTGGCCCACATTAGCAGAGGGTCTGATTATAAAATTCCATCTCTATCTCTCCCTGAGCCTCCTAGCTGTCGAACACTCCAGGGTCTTCCCAGCTCGGGCTCGTCCCGGGTTACTCTGGCTCCTTACAGTTTCTGCAGATGATGCCAAGGGAAGCTTGAAGATTCCTATAATCTCTGGACCATGGGGATACAGTAGAGATGAAGAGCCAGGTGACCTCAGGGGGTGCTGTGAGCACTGTACTATTTAGTAGAGATGAAGAGCCAGGTGACCTCAGGGGGTGCTGTGAGCACTGTACTATTTCCAGGTCAGAGCGATGAAGTGAGAACATTAGATTCTCTGTGGCCGTTTCTTGCCTCCCCGCTGCACAACCACCAGCTAATGAGCATGAGCACTGGTGCCACCAGATGTTTGGCTGAATTCGCTCAGCAAAATTTTTGGGAGTAGTTAATAAATGTCCTGTTTCCTTTTTGTGTCCTTTTCATATCCTTATTGTTCCAATTGTTACAAAAATTAACAACTTCAATAATGCACACTTTCCCTATAAAATGGTCCCTATTCGATCAAGACAACAGTCACTCAACTGTTGCACAGTGGATATAGGAAGGTGGAAGAAAGAGTGTGCAGAGAGGCATTCAGAATGCCCTGAGGGCCATGCTTCTCTGGAGTCCTGGGCTGGAGGAGCAGCTCCTCCAGCATTGCCGTAGTGATTGTCACCTGCCAGGATGAAATGCAAGCCACTGAGGGAACAGGTGGTGTGGGGAAGAGTACCTGTGAAGGCTGAACAGTGACGAGTTCAGAGAATGGAAGAGGACACCTAATAAGAAACCCAGACCACCTTTCAATACTGATACTAAGCTCTCCTAGTCCCCCTCACACTGATGCACTGAATGCACAGCAGCTCTCAGGGCAGACCCGGTTCAAAGACAAGCATGACAGTCCAGCAATGACAGGGGCATGTATTCATCCAGGGATGAAAGGTCCTTTCACAAAACAATATCCCGTATCATCATGACAAGCACCAGACTAACCTGAGATCCCTAATTAACTGACCCGTTAGCTCCTTCTGCAGACATCAGATATCTTTCACTTAGCTGTGCTGTTATTAAAGAAGACAATTTTAAAGACAGGCATAAATGCTCCCTGGGTGGGGGTGTGTGGATTGGTCTTGTCAGTTCACCCACCTTTCCCTTCTTGATGCACGTATTGATGGTGTCAAGAAGGTCTGCCCGGTTCTTGTCACTCTTGGGCAGATCGGCAAGTTCTTTCCCCAGGAGCTCCCCTTTGTGGTAGCCCATCATCCTCTCGAAGGCTGGGTTGACATACTGTCAGGGGGAGGAGGGTACATGTCAGAGTCCACAGGGAAACTTGCACAGACACAGGAGTGTCAAGCGGGAAGTTCCCTGGACTGTAGCCCCCTAATGCGGGTGTCCCTGGGCCCTGCAGAGTGTTCCGGACCCCCTTGAAGTAAAGGCCTCCATCCTGGGTGGCAATTTATTCATGCAGCTGCCAGCCCTGTCTCCTGCAGAAACTGGAAGAAACTCTGTAGCAGGAAAAGAGCAGGAGTCCTCATTTAGCAGCCTCAGGCTCTACTGGGCCTCATTCACCATTAAAACTGCCCCATGAAATTGGGAAAATTTCAGAAGACAGAAATACAAAGGCAGATTCATGGCAGAGCACTTCCCCAGTACTATTAAATAGATAAATAAATGCTCAGTTAAACAGGCTGTGGCTTGTTGTGGTCACACATCTGTGCAAGGCAAAAATCTGCCCCTGCATCTTCTTGCCACAATTTGTTAGTCAGTGCTGCGGTTTGGCCCACTTCTGCTCTAATCTGAACAACAAACACAGTTAAGCAGCATGGCAGGAGGCAGCCTTCTCAGCACTGGGCACAGGGTATGGGGCAGTCAGGAAGATAAGAATCCTGCTAGTGCTCTTGGTCAGTGGACTCAGAAGTCTCTTTCCAAAAGCCTGCTGAAGAGCTGGGATTCAGAGCTGTTGCTTTATCTGACTCCCAGCTCTGGCCTCACCCACCAATTTCTGTTCAAGGACCATAGTCACTAGATGAAACCAGGTGCTGGGAGCAAGGGGTGCAGCATGTGGGGAATGTGAACCCCTGAACCTAGGTCATGGTTTTCCTTGTGCTTGGTTTCCATTCATCTACAGCTTCAGAAACATTCTTTCGACTGTAATCACTCTTTCCCTCCACTGGGAGGACAGTGGTCATGAACTAGGAGACATTGGAACGCTTCAGGGCTTATTGCCTGGGGAACAACTCCTCACACAACTAATTCTGGGGGCTGATGGCTCAGGAGGATGCTCTGGCCATCAGGCCAATGGAGGTGGCTGAAGAGGAGGAGTAGTGACATTGTTTTCACAGATTTCTAGTCCCCTCTGGTCATGTCCCCGAGCAGGACAGGTCACAACTGCAGCCTGCCACTGCTCAGCAGGCCAGCCCCATGATCCCCGTCCTACCCTTGTAGGTGTTGAGGTCCCTGTTATCTTTCCCTCCTCTCTGGGCCTCTCCCATGTGCTCTCTGCCTTGACTGCTCTCCTTTGTCTCTGCCTCATCAACTCAACTCCAAGATGTCCTTGCCTCCTCCAGGAAGACCTCCTTGATTTCTGCCAAGTCTGAGTTGGAGCCACTCCCAAGCGCTTCCCATGAGGCTTGTGCTGACTTCTTGTGGCTTAATTACATTACATTGGATGGAGTTTTTATCTCTCCCCCATTAAATATTACATTAAAATCTCCAGAGCCAAGGTTATTTTGGAGTTGTCTTTGGGTAATCAGGGCTGTTTAGTATATGTTATATGAGTAAATAGAGGATGTACTGTTTTCCTTATTTGTTGGCTACAGTCTTACACATCTTCACACATGTGGTTCTGCTTTGGTTGTAAATCTGGGTAGAAGTCATGGCCCCTTTTCAACCAGGGATCTTGTAACCTTAGAACATAGCAGGTACACCAGGAAATGACCCCAGAGCCCAGGTACCTATATTCAAATCCTGGCTCTGCCCATGACAGGCTATATAACCATGGGGAAATTACTTAACTTCTCTGGTCTTAGGTTTCCTCAACTGTAAAATGGATGTAATAGTATTACCTGACCCACAGGATTGTCTTAAGGAATGTATGAATATATATATATATATATATATATATATATATATATACACACACACACACACACACACACAAATACCTGGCACCAGGTAAGTATCATATAAATGTTTGAAGCAAATAGAGATAAACAGAAGTGGAGGAAAGACAAGGAAGGAGAGAGACAGGGAGAGACAAGTTAACAGATAATTCCTAAATTTTAAGTGCTATGAACTGGCCTCTGAAGAAACACGCACTATCTAACTGGTGTGTTCTGGGAAGGATGCTGATGTCAAGCAGGAACATACATAAAACATTTTGTCCAAGGTCATTTCAGTGCCCCCCTTCATATCAACACTCTCTGTTCAGCTTTTCCCTGCTTCCTCTTGCTTTGAGTTTTACATTTCAGATTGCTGGTGCATCTTTAAAAGCAGCACAAAGAGAGTTGCTGAGGAAGAAACCACATCATCTTATTCAGAATCCTTTCAGTGCAGAGATGTCCCTCCATCCCCTTTACAAGCACCGGCTGTCCTCAAGCCCCTGGTTCTTTCTGCTAATGCAGAGACCAAGAGTGCTTTATATCATAATGTGGCACTGTCACCATGTTACCTCTCCCGGAGGTATGAGTTTGCTGACTACCAGCTGCTACCAATAGGGTGAAGGACTTGGTTCCCTGTTCAAGCAGAGAAGGCAGGAAAAGTGCAGGAAGTCCAGTCTCCTCATCACCGAAGTCACAATCTAACTGCCCACTGTAGAGCAGGGTGGGGCAAAGCACACATGTTTCCTGAATAGACTGATACAAGTTCTAAGTCTATAACAGAGATGTGCTTGGCATTCTCTATGGTCTAAGGCACAGTGATGTTCAGTAGGTCAGTAACAGAGGCTAGTAACATCCAGCATTGAAGACAGCTACAGATCCATTTCAAGGGGAAGCAAGGAAAACAAAGTCTTAGAATACAGACAAATAAGAACCAGACAGAAAGTCTCTGGAGTCAGAATGACATGGCTATGTGTTTTGGTTTCAATGTTTATTACTGGGGCTTTCCTCCAGATAATTGCTTGACCTTGTTTGGCCAGAGTCCTCACTTACACTCTTGGCCAGTTATGTCTCCTTCAGTGTCACTGAATGGGTCTATTGGACAATGAGAGAAGACAAATTCTCTCATTTGAATTTGGGGGGTGCCTACCCTACTCAACAAATCTGATGCAGTCAAGCCAGTACCAAATAGTGCAATGTACATTTCAAGGTATTTTTAACTGTAGATGTTTTGTTCTCCAACAGTTAAACTAAGAATACCTCATTTCAACAGAGGTTTATCTACTATACAGATTTATTTAGGGAGATGATATTAGTATGAGTGCTTTTTAATTAGATACCAACCATAGGCAAATGAATGTCTTTGAAAACATTCTGTTCCTATGGACAGTTATAAGCATTTGTTCTATAGATCTGATTTACTTCTCTATAAATAGTCTTGACCAATGACCCAAAGAATTTACCACATCTCTATCAAAGAAATCACAGGTTCCAATCTGAATAACTTTCATTCTTTATTGAAAATCTTATTCTTAGCTTAAGGCTATCAGTATTCTTTGCATACTTTGATTTTCTTTTCTTCAGTGTGCTAATATGTAAAGATTATGGGAAAGTACTTGAAAAAGGACAGCTCAAACTTGAAAGGTTCTATTTTTTTTCCTTGTTGTTGGTGTGGTGGTGGGGGGGACCTGAACTTAGGACGCTGTGCTTGCAAGGCAGGTCTGGCACCGCTGAGCTAAATCTCCAGCCCTGAAATGTTCTGTTTTGATATCTAATGATATAAAGTGTTTCTTTCCATACCTGAATCACATGGTCATCGCTTGTTATTTCTATGGCTTCATGACAGTGGTCTAATGCTGTAAACACTGAATTACAGGCCCTGAAAGATACAAAAGCCTACTGTTAGTTCTATGAAGACCATTTGTATTTTATTTGTTAATTTAACAAAGTAAACTGAGCACAGATTCATTATGCCCATGTGCTTTTGCTATTGTTATGGTCTGAATACTGGCGCACTTTCAAAATCCCTGTGTTGGAATCTAATAATGCAATGGTATTAAGAGATGATGCTTCAGGAATTAATTACATCAGGGGGCTCCACCCTTATGAATGGGGCTGGTGCCCTTATAGAAGAGGCCAAGAGAGATTCCTGGGTCCTTCTGCCATGTGAGGACACAGAAAGTGCCGTCTATGAATAATGGGCCCTCACCAGACACTGAACATGCTGGTACCTTTTCCTTGAACTTCACAGTCTCTAGAACTGTGAGCAATACATTTTATTATTTATAAATTACCCATCTCAAGGTGTGTTGTTGTATCAGTGCTGTGTTTGGGGAAAAAAGTAGTCTTTCAAACTAAATGCATAAACAATGCATATTTATCTGTTTATGATTAGGCCAAGAACTGTAATTCAGCAAAATCTGAAAGGATTAGGCGTGCACTGAATGAAACTTCAGTATTGCCACAGAGAGCAAAGATGCAGATGAGACTGTCTTTTAAGTCCCAATTGTTCTATGTCAGTGATGTTCCATTTCCTTTACAGATGTGGTCATGGAGAAGTAAAGCCTTATCAATCAGGCGAATCCAATTAAGCTCAAATTTGATCTCAGATTTTCTGGCCTTTTCTAATAGGCACAGGAAGATTTTTTTTTTCTTCTTATTTTGTGATGTTACTTTGCTTTGACCCACGCCCACTAGCAGGATGAAAGGCAAACATGGCCGAACTCCCCTTTCCTAGTTCATGTACCTACATAGTCTCCTAGGTGGTACTTTTCTTCTGGGATATTTGAAATCAGGCTCTCAATTTGTGGCTATAATTCTAACTAACTTCCAAATCTAGAGCAACTCCAAATACAGTAAGTTATTTACCATCAAATCCATTAAGTATGCAACTATAGCTGTTATTTATACAGTCAAAAGAATCCTAGTAAATGCTTTCTTACACATTACTAAAAGAAAAAGCTGATTTATTGGAGTGATATTCCTTCTTATAAAACAAACTCTTAAAATGTAATTTTTCCACTCATCAAGGCAGTTTAACTTTGCTTCCCTGTTTGGATCAATTTATAAGGAAGAAGGCAGAAAGCATTGGGTGAGATCTGGCTCTGTCTACAGTTACAGGACATTCGGCAATGTTTTATTTTTGCTTACTCTTGATTTCCTCATCTATAAAATGAGGAATGATAATGTGTATTTCACAGGTTTTTATCTGGATAATAATTGATGATTTATATGAGACATTTCTCCAAGTACTTGAGACCATACCAAAGAAGAATTCAGCACATGGTAGCTGTTATTATTTGTAAGATCACAGAGTAATATTTCTTTATTCTTTAAGGCCTTAAAAAACCTTGGGCAAGAAGAAAAATGAATCATAACCCATTTGTACTCATGAGTGTACCTGAAATGTCAAGCCCAGAACTACTATATCCAGTAATAGCAAGATAACCTGCACGTGGAGTAAAGGATTTTAGCCTACTTATGGGTAACATTTCTATAGCTGCAGAGATGAAGATAGCAACATGTAGAATCAGCCACTGTGGTAAGGGTGAGTAGGGCAGAGAAGAGGAGCAGCCTAAGTGGACTGACCCCTGAGAAGCTCGGACCATTTCCTTATTTCAGTTGCCTAGTCCACCTAATTTAAACAGTATACTGTCAAATACCATCACTGCACTTTAAAACATGGCCACTTAAAATAAGACAAAAAGATAAGAGAGGATGTTAAGACTGTGCCTAATACCATTATTACACTGCATCTTGAAAGGCAGGGAAGACCCAGCAGTACCAAAAGTACTTTCCAGGAATGTGGCCCAGCTGCACAGTAAAGTATTTTCAGGCAACAACAGCCTTTCAGAAATTAAATGTAGAGAAACAGACTCCTGTGGGCTAATCTGTCAACTTTGAGAGCTGGATAATTAAATTCTAATTAACACATTTTATCAAATGATAAATTCCTCTCTCACTTAAATATCTTCTCTAAGGTATCTATATGTCTCAACTAATTGCATAAACAGGTGCTTCAGGCTATTATCATTTTGTCAATTCAAGAGGCAGCTTTTACAAATCTCACATCTCACCTGCAGAGCTGACCTATTAAACATTCATTTTATAATTATCCACAAAACATAATCTCTTTGATAGATATTATGCCCAACAGGACACAGGCGATTCTCACACTGACAGTGCATTCTTTTCCTGCCTGCCCACACTGTGACAAACATGACCAGACTACAATGTTTATTTGGGCTTTCAATCTCTTTAGGCTGTTGGCCCTATTTAAGTAAACCTGCAGCAAAATGGGGTAATCAATTTGAGTCATGTTCCTAGAGTTTGAGAACTTAATTGCCTTTATTAATTATTCATATGCTTCAAGCAGAAGAGCCTTAGCTTTTATTAATTTTCTGTTCTTGGGAACCGTGCAACTGTATCTTAAATGTCTTTGTTTTTTACCCTTCAGGTTAAGAAGTTGGAAAACTGGACAAAGAAACACAAGGGAAAGAAAGGTATGCTTGCTTGGAAACAAAACCTAGAAATGATGGGCAATGTAATCATTACCCCTGTATCTTCCTGAGAGCCTTGAAGGTCTAGCAGGGGAAGGGCAAATATAATAGGGGTCCAGGCAGAAAGTCCAAAAATAACATAGTGCTCCAACAGGGTGCCTAATTCTGCTCCAGCACTGTCACCCACATGCTGGGTGCTGGGTGGCTGTTGTCATGCCAAGAAGCAGGCTGGTTTTCATGATTTTCCTCTGTCAACTGAGGCTGGGGAAGATATGTGATCACCTGTGTTGCTTGGAAAGGTTCTCTGTCTGGAAGCATATATACACACACACACACACACACACACACACACACACACACACAGTGAAGCCATCTAGAACAAGGTTGCGTCTGGGCAAGGTGGTGGCTTAAAGAGAGGAGATTCTGAACATGAATCTCCGCCTCAGCAGGGGTCTAGAATGAGTGTGTGGACAATGGGTTTGCTATTTGCTAGTGTTCATTCATGGAAGTGATGCACAAGAGTCTGTTCCAAGCACTGTGGCTGTCGCACAGAGCCCTGTCAAGATAAAGCGCTCCACAGATGTCTACCAGTCCTGAGAGATGGAATGTCCCACAGAATACAGAGCTTCCTTCACCAGAAATTTCAATTCTTTCTGAAACTGCGGATTGCTACTGTCTTAAGTTTTGGGACAAAATAAATAATTATTTGGGTGTAACTGCTAGACTAGGTAATGAGGCAAAGGATAGATAGAACTGCAAGAATATAGACTGATCCACTGAAATTTCTGATAAGTAGCTAAACCATTATCGTCATTTTAGATAAAATAGGTCTTTTATGATAAAGAGGTATAAGAACTTTAAAAGAGATAAGTGACCATCGTTTAGCTTGGGTTATCCTAGACACTGCATTTCCTGAATTCTGCCCTGCAGAGTAATTCATCAAATGAACACAAGAATGTGATTTAGGTCTTACAGCTCTAAAAAGTTATTCTATACAAAGGAATCTTAAGATTAGATACATCTTTTCTTTGATCAGATCAGACGTGTTCTTTTTCTTTCCTTGGCTAAATACATACAGTCACATACATGAAGCCTGGGTCAGAACTGTCCACCTTCAACATTCAACATTATCCTGCAGTACAGACTGTATTCTTGCAGAATCAACAGTCATGTTACATATTTAGCTGTAGCTGGGGGCGGAATTGTAGGGAAACGTATTACATAATTAGACTATAATTATTCTGGCATTGTATAATAAAGAGCTCATTTCCTAGTCTGTAGCAAATGACAGTCACTTGCCTGCCTGGGGTTATGGTAGATGCTTTGAATGTCCTTGAATGCTCTAAAGAGCTGGAGGTGCTCATGGTCTGGGTCATTGTCTTCCCTTAGGCTGGGCCCAAATCTGGTAGACCTGGGGAGCTTCAAACCATGCACAAGCATGTGCGCACGCACAAACTAAGGAAGGGAGAAAAAACCTAGGTAAGGCTAAGGCAGAACCAGCTAATAAGCAACAGCAGAAGCTGGTGTGGAACATAAGAGGATCCAAGTTCTGGGCAAGCCTGCCTGCCTGGGCTACTGCCTTCCTGGGTCAAGTCATTTACCAGCTTCATGCTGATCTATATGAAGCCTTTGCATTATGACCTCAACAATGGGTCCAACTCCTTCAACTGTTTCCAGGCAGTGAGAGGTAAAAGAAGCTATAGCACAAGGTATTTAGAAACTTGCAGAATTTCTCAAGCTGATACAATTTTGGGAAGTTTGCAATGTTCTGGTTTTATCAGCACAGTCACCTGAAGCCTCTTTCTTTTGGCCTGTGTTGGCTGCAATGTTTATTTCAAACTGCCAGACCTGCAAGTATCCTGTTCACCATGGACAAGAGCCCCCGAGGCCACTGAGGGACCCCTCAAGGCCTGATCATGGATCCTTCTAGCATCTACCACAGGCCATCATATTTAACGTTGACTAGGAGAGCAGCAACACTTATATAAAATAAAACAACGGAATTGCCTCTTTAAGCAATGAAGTGTTGGTATGTTGCTTTTTTCCCATAGATATTATAGAGTTAAAGGATTAAGCCACACTATAATCTCTCTGTCGTATTTATTTATTGTAAAATATCTAAAAATAACTAAACTTTTTACCCTCAAAAGCAGTAGAGACATTCAGGAATAAGAACAATTAGTGCACATTATTTAAAAGCATAAATTACTGAAGTAAAAGATAATGTTATTTTCTAGAAAAATTGCATTAAGTTCTCTGGCACTAATAAACATACAGATTAAAAAGAAACCAAGGGATTTAACTAACTTAAATATTCACAACAGCTTTGATGCTATTCCTCATAAAGACCTTGGTAATCAGAACTCAAACATCTGAATTCCCACCATTTTGAGATTCTCTTTTAATCTTTTCCATCTAAGAAAAGTATTTGTTCCTGCACTTTACCTTTTAGAGCTATTTACCAAAAAGCCACTTCCCAGACCAACATGCATCCATGGAAAACCTAATTCTGTAGCTTTTTGTCAATTCATTTGCTTCCCAAGGACAGAAGAGAATTAGGTTCATCTCTGGAAGCAAACAAGTAATCAAGCTGAGAAATACAATATATATTTTTTTTGGTACCAGGGATCAAACTCAGGACCTTGGCCTTGCAAGGCAGGCAGTGAAACCACTAAGCTAAAGCCCTGGCTCTGAGAAATATAATTATTAAAAGGTCTAGGAATGTGGCTCAGTGGTACAGCATTTGCCTAGCATATGTGAGGCCCTGAGTTCAATCTCCAGCACTGTAAAAAGAATGTAATTACTACAGGGAGATGCTGTCTCACTTTACACTGTGCATGAAACTACCAGTGACCTCTCAGCTAGCCAGAGAAAGAAGCCATGCAGGGACTTTCCTGCAGTGTGCCAGGAAGCTGCTGGAGCCTGGCCCTCCCAGGGGTCAAAGGTAAAGAAGAGCCTTGGCCTTGCTCTATGGCTTAAGGAGAACAAGTTGAAGAGATCAAGGTCCTGAGAGCAAGTCACAGCAGGGCTGAGCCCAAACAGGGCTCACAGTCCACCTAAAGCAGGACTTGCCATGTGTGCCTCTGGGCCTGGGCAAACACTAAGGAGTCCAACTGGGGCTGAGCCAGTGAGAAGCCTGCTCTTGAAGTACAACACACCTGTAAAGAAGCCTAGCATCCATTTCTTGAAGATACTTTATGCACACATGGCCACAGACTCCATGAAAATGCTCCTGTGGCCACATAGCAATTCTTACAATCATCATAATAAATATACTGGCGGGTGCTCCCCTATAACAACCCAAGTAGGAACTTATAAATGTTCAAGGTAGGACAAGAAAGTAATCCTCAAAGGCTATTTTAAATCCTGATCTACTTATGCAAAATTAAGCAGGACTTTTCCTGAGTTATGATTTTAAAACTTTTGTAAATAGTGGGAAATATTGTCAAAAGAAGAAATGCTTCTGAATTATTTCATTATATCAAATGGCCCCTGGTTTAGCTGCTGCTTTTGGCCAGCTGCCATTACCTGTTCAACAGCTTCTAAACCCCTGGAATTCAGCTATAAACCTGTGAACATCAGCCTGCTGACAGGTAAGATTTTTCTAAAGAATTGTTAACTTCATGGTACTTATTTTGCCACATACCGTAACTTGAACTGTGAGCGAACTTCTCCATGTTCTATTTGAATCAGTTCATTATAGCAAGCAATTATGCTGCTATTCTCCATAAATCTCTGAAAAGAAAGCAAAGATAATACATAAGACATTTCCAATTATTTCTTAGAGAGTCAAATAGAGGAACTTAATAATTGTTCTTACCCCCAGGTAACTGTTACATAAGACATCTAGTAGGTAGAAAGAGATGAAATAGAAAAGTTGTCAAGGAGTCTGAAATGCTTGTTTAAATGCATGAGGAAACAAAAAAGCAGGCAATACTTACACTTAGCTCCCTTTATAATAAAGGTGGGATAAATATCATTATGAATATAGTCACATGAAAATAAACACAAGGCCACAGAATGCCTGTCGAAGCACGCTAATTACTAAAATAGTTTTGCTTCATGTTGTACTAATAAAAATCATCAAATCCCAATAGTCATCACATGCAGCTTGCACCACACCATGATCTCTTTTGTGGGGAGAGGATATTCTTTATCTTCTGAGTGCCTGACACAGAGCTCATTTAAAAACAAGTGAGAGCAACAAGAGAAGACAGACAATCTTAATGAAAAAGCGGCCAAAAATCTTATGCAGGCCTTTCTCCAAAGCAAATATACAAATGTCCAAGAGGCTCATGAAAAGATGCTCAATACCATGAGTCATTAGAGAAATGCAAATTGAAGCAGAGAGAGTGGTCACTTCACACCCAGTAGGATGAATACAATTATTTTTAAAAAAAAACCGGAAGTAGTGTTGGTGAGGTTGTGAAGAACTGAAAGCCTGTGCTGGTGAGGGTGTACAACGATTTTGTCACTGTGGAAAATGGTCCGGGGGTTCCTCAAACATTAAATAATTACCCTGTAATCCAGTAGTTCCACTCCTAGGTAAATATCCACAAAAAGTGAAAACAGATATTCAAACAAATACTTCTACAAACAAGTCTACAGCAGCATGATTCACAACAGCTGCAATAAAGAAACCATAAACATATACAAAAGTTAGCAACAGCCCAAAGTCCATCAATAGATGAAGAGACAGACAAAACTGTTGAAGGCACATACAGTAGAATATTATTCAGCCACAGATCATAATGAAAGACTGATATAGGCTGCAACATGCATGAACTTCAAAACATGTAAGCAAAAAATATACCAAAAGTCACATACCATATGATTCAGTACACATGAAATTATCTAGAATAGGTCAATCTCTAGAGACAGAATGCAGACTGGTAGCTGCCAGGGCATGGAAGGTAGCGGGAAGAGTCCTAGGAATAATGGCTTGAAGGGAAGAATCTCTATCTGGGGCTGATAAAATGTTTTTAGAACTAGGTGGAGGTGGCAGTTCTATGCACCCACTCCTACTCGGCACACGCTGTAGAAGGTCAGCACTCCTCAGAGAAGAGGACCCTTTCACACAACGATCCCAAAGCAACCTTTTGCTGTTGTTTGCTTTCAAAACGTATACACACCAGCAGTCTGCTGGATTGATAAATGTCTGCAAGCTAATGACCACCACTTTGAGCGCCTCTTTTAATTGTGGGAGCCTAACGTAACTTCTATTAATCTCATGATGTCTCAATACATTTAGTATTAAAATATTTACACAAGTTTTTCTTTTCCTGATGTATACATGTTTTGACAGACTCTGTATATAAAGTAATATTTGATATAGGATCAACAAGAAATTAAGCATTTTTCTTGCATGAACACATCAATATCTAATGAAAAATGATGAAACGAGAAAAAAAACAGTAAGTAAAAAATAGGAAGGGAACAGATTGAACAACAGTTCTAGGTGGGAATGAGGAAAATGCCTTCCATCTTAACTTATAAAAATATAGACCATGCAAAACTTTCTAAGCATATGGTTAGCAAACTATTAAGTAAAAAACAGAACCAGAATTCCAAAGTATGGCAGACTCCTTGGTTTCCTCTCTGACTCTAAGATAGCTAGATAGAGGAGGACATAGGGCCCTCCCAAAAGACACATTGCTTTGATTTCCTTGAAACAAGTTGGCCAGAGAAAGAATCACCTTACACACAGACACACACACACTCACCCTTAGACTGAATGGCTTCTCCCTGGCGAATACCTTTCAAAGCCCCTCAGTTTCCCTGAGTCTCTGATTCCCCAGCTTTCCATGTGGAAGTGGGAAAGACTAAGGAAAGAGAATAAGCCACAAACATATACCAGGGAGACATACTTTTTTGAAAATTCACAAAGCACAGTTAAATATGGGTAGGTTCACTTGAACCTTTAGATGGGTAAAAACTGTCTCAGCCTATAACAGAGCTTCAAGGGCTGTTAGCTGATGCTTTGCAGAAACATTTAAAAATTCTGTAATAAAACAAATGGTGGCCTAAGGATTTAGCTCAGTGGCACTGTGCCTGCCTGCAAAGTGCAAGGTCCTGTGTTTGATCCCCCGTACAAAAAAAAAAAAAAGTGGTGATGGTAGGGTTCTAGGGATTGAACCCAGGGTCTTTGCACTAAGTTACATCCCCAGACATTTTTTATTTTTTATTTTGAGACAGGTTTTCACAAAGTCACTAAGTTGTCCAGCCTGGACTCAAACTTGCAATCCTTCTGTCTCATCCTCCCAGAGTGCTAGAATTACAAGCATGCTCCACTGTGCCCAGCTGATAAAGTAAGTTTTGATAAAGCTGAGGTGAACAGAGAAAGCTTCTTGACACTGGACCTGCCAGAGGATTCAATATGCTTAAAGGCAAACTATACATATGCTTAAGGGCAACACTGCTAACATGCACTGTGAATTCCTGGGGCAAGGAGAAAGAACAGTCTCCTCTAATCCTCAAGTTCTCTATTTTCATGGAATACCATCGAGAGATCTGGGGACATCAGTGTCTCTTTGAACAGTTTGGGAAATCTTACTTTAGCAGACCCAATATAGAATTTGGATGAATGTGCTGTTGAGTATTTGACCTTGTCATCAGTGTGAGCTCAGGCTGTTCTGAGTTGGTTCCCTCTTCTGCACAAATAGAGAAAATACCAAATCCCTCATACGTCAAGGAGGATTGAATATATCACTTTGCCCCGGCCTTACAAATACTAAACTGTGGCTCCTTACTTCCTGCTCCACAGGAGGACTCTACAGGGAGAACTATGTCCCATAGCTGTACCTAGACATTTGTTGCACACAGTCACAGTTCCAGAAATACTTGAGATGAGTGAACATCAGCTCAAAAGAGAAACAGCATCCAAAGGTACCTCTGGCAGGATGCTAATGTCTAGAGGGCTCTGTGGGGACCAAGCACCACGATTGTCACTTCATACACTGGGCTCCAAAGGCCTCCAGGGGAGCTTCTGGGGGTATCTGATGGCACAATCTGTTCCCGAATCCCCACACATGGACCACAAACTGAAGGGCTGGTGAATCAGCCTGTAATGCAGGAATGAGTGTCAGCAAATGATTTCGTACAATCAGAATGACTCAGGAAGGGGAAAAACCTCCAAAAGTCAGGAAGAGCTAGCATATATGGAAGCTGGTCAGAGAGTTGCCAAAGACAAGATTTCCTGTAGAAATGCACAGCACTTGGAGCTCTGCCTCAGCACTTCTTGAGCCCCAGTAACTCAAGGAAAGATGCTGCAGGTCCCAGGTACATCCCTTGGAAAGAGCCCTAGTGACAGGGGCCCCTGACCCAGCTGGTGAGTGGCCTCAATCAGACTGGACCCAGCATTCAAGGCAGTCCCTGATGGATGCTGACTCCTGTGCTCCCACCACAGGTTCACTCACTGTGGTTCACTGCAAAGCTCAGTAACACAGCCAAACCCATGGAGACCACACCTTCCAGAGTGGCACACACAGCTTACAAAATGTATAAAGAGGAAACAGTGATTGTTTCTCCCAAGATTTTCTGTGAGCAGATGTGCATTCTCTGGCCTACAATCAAGATGCTATTGCTACAAAAGACACAGATCTCTGAGCCTCATGAGCCCATGGAGGAAGAATCACTGAGCTAAAAACAGAATCCTCAAAGACCATGCTACAGAATGTGAGGCTCTAATCCACATAGCCTATAGGAGTGAAGGTCTTTCTCCACTATCTCCCAGGCAAGGAGAAAAACAATGTCCTGAGGTCAGATGGTCCTGACTTGGGCTGGACAAGGTCAGTGTCGGGAGCTGGTGGGGTAGGGTGAGTAACATGATGCAGAGATCCATGAAGCCTGTGAATATTTCTAGGGTTACTTCTCAGAAAAGGAATAAGGAAGGTAAACTCAGCCACCACATGACTTCTTTGCTAACTGTCCTCTAGCAGTTCTCCACCCCAGACTCCAAGGCACCCACTGCACAGGACAGATTTCAGAGCCATGTGCTGGCCACTACCAGAGGTGGGGAGGTGGCAGGCACAAAACAGAACCAGGAGGGTGTGGAACCTTCCCAACCCGGTGTGTTCACTTCTATTTCACAGGGGGAACCACTGCATCACTGCAAAGCTCTTGTACAAACAACACTGCTGCCCAAACTGAAGCACACCCAAGCACACAGCAGCTGTTCCCCAGAGGCAGTTTCTGCTTCTCTGTAGCCTGCAAGCAAGAATGAATTGTTTGTAAGTCAAAGGTAGCAAAGCACCCAAAGGAATTTTCATGATCCAAAGGCACAGGCCATACCCTGTTTTTAAAGGGATGCATTATACTATCTCTTAGAGACTAACACTATTTGTATCAAAAGACCTCGGGATATATGGGAAGCCTAACTACTTACTATGTTGGCAAATCTACTTGAAGTAGTCAATCTCATATTAAAGCTGAATATCAGTGTCATTCAAATAGTTGTTACTCAAAGAATTTCCCTTTACTGATGTTTGTAGTTTAAACCAGGAATTCACAAGATAGTACAGGTCATTTATTTCAGTTTCAATTATCAGCAAAACTTGCATGGGCCAACTATGGAGCTCTGTCCTCTTTTTTTAAAAAGAACCACTTTCACATATTTAATAGAAGTGATAATATGATTGCTATGAAAGAATTTAAGCATACAAATGTTCTCCATAACTTCTCTATAAGAATTTGTTTTCTCTTAATATTATGAAACATACTTCTATAAAATTTATGTTTCAATTATCTTTTTCTACTCTATCTTTTATTCCTTTATTTTAAATCAATTCCATCATTTTCTTTTGATGTTCATGATCACAGTTTCACCTCCAGTCAAATTTTCACCATGAGATGCCTGCTGAGCCTTTCTATTCAGTTTGTGGGTTAGTCTCCTTGGAATAATCAACCTTCATCTTCAAGCTGAGTACCAGTGTTTTTTATGAAGTTGTCAATCAAAGAACTTTCTCTGGCTGTTATTAATAGTATAAACCTGGAGTTCCAGCATGCCTGTCCCTAGGGTATGAGTATTGGCTGGGTCCAGGCCAAGAGCCCTGTGTGCCAACTTGGTGAACTCATCTTCATATAGCAACACACACATGTTGAACTTGACCGACTAGACTGATTTTCATGAGCTTACTTGGGGACTACAGAATTTTGATCTGATATGACAAGATGTATTTTGTCATCATTCCATATCTATTGCTGATACATGAAGTAGTAAGAGAGAAAAAAGAAAAGCAAAATGCTTTTTCCAGCAGTGGTTCTTAACCATCCCATGAAAGCAGTTACTTGCCCCATGGACCTGGAGCTCATTTCCCTTAAAAGTTCTCATGCTGATCGCTTTGCTGTACTGGGAGACCCCGAGGTAAAGTGTTTACCAGTGAGGGTGTTGGTTCACCATTACATACCCGGTTGAAGCCTGCATGGAGAAGAGGAAGGACTGAGGCCTCTTCATGGTCATCAGATCTGCAGCAAAGCAGAAAATGTGGTCACTCGGCAGATACAAAGCAGGATTCCTCACACTGAGACATGGCATTAGCTCTGAGAGAGTGGCTTCCAGAACAGCACGCGCTACAGCATACCCCTGTCTTCAGGGACGGATCCCCTGTCTATCTCCCAGCTGCAAACAGAACACAAACAGTGGAAGACACTCCAGCAATGTGCCTGAAGGTGACACTGACACACTTGAGCGAGCAACCTGTTTCACTGTTCGGAGGGATCAAATGTATGGGAGTAGTCCCATCCTGAGACTGCTGTTCCCAGACCTGATGAAAGTACCACTCCTGCCCCAGGCCCTAGCTGGATCCAGTTCTCAGTGTGAGGAAGCCACAGGTCAGGACGGGCTGTAGAACTCCATGGCCAAAGGGGAAATAAGCATCAGCATAAAGACAAAGTTGGAAAGGAGGGAAACAAAACCTGGTCACTGTCACCCATTTTATGAGATGGTGTCGTACACTGAGCCTATGGTTGGATGGAGGATAAGGCAGAGGTGGGAGCTAGCTTGTCATGAGGGCTTCCCACAACTGGGCTGTCCTCATAAAGAGAGAAACATGTCCCTAGATAGCCAGCAAGCAGCATGGGGTACACATCCTGAAAATCGTAGAAGTGGAATAAAAGGATTGGGTGGAAATACTCATAGAAATACCAATAGAAAATAGGAAGAGAAGCTGGGTGTGGTTGTGCACGCCCGTGATCCCAACTACTTGAGAGACTGAGATGGGAGAATCCTAAGTTCGAGGCCAGTCTGGAACATGAACAAGGAGTACTGTTTCAAAAAGGGAGGAAGGGAGGGAGAGAGGTAGGGAGGGAGGGAGGACAGGAAGTGAAATTCCAGTGCTTATTTATGGCATTGCCCATAGCTGATCCTGCCCTACAAAGAAATTCTGTATTCCTTATTCCCTCTTTCCCTCAGGAACTCAAGCTTCTGCACTATCCAAATGACATGTCAAAAGGGGTAGGAAAAGTGTTCCAAAGGTGTTAATAATATTCTATTTCTTAAGATGGGTGACACTGACACAGACGTTCATTTTATTATTACTGTCTATATGAAATGTTGGATAATAAAAAGAAGAAAAAACAGGCAAAATCATAAACAAGCCATAGTAAGCCACTACTTGTCAAGGACAGGAATCATTCTTGCTCTGAGAAGGAAAAGGTGTTTCATTCTAGGGCCCAAAGAACAGGTTTAGGCTTGGGGAAAGGCTGGGTGGCCCAGCACAGTTCTAGCAGCCATCTCCAAGTCTCTAAGATGCTGTTAAGATCTCAGAGTGGGCAGAAGACAAAGGTAATAAACAAGGCTGACAGGGGCTGACCTCTGGCTTCCACCCCTTGCAATCTCTCCTCCCACGAGGATGGCAGGTGTAAGGAACAGAGGAGACAATTCTTCGCTTTCTTTGGAGTTATCAAGCGAAGGGGCTCAAGGAGTTGCATGTGCGTAGAAAGACTGTGGTGAGAGCAGGACTTTGCAGCCACACTTTGCTGCAAGCCAATATGGCTTGGGAGCAGTGTTCAACTCTCCCCTTGGCCAGCTTTCTTATACTTTCTCATCGGAGTTGCTAGCTTATTAGTTCCTTTGTTGCAGAATTCTTGTCAAGCACCACAATAAAGTCCAAAAGGTCCTAGTTCCAATGAAGGTCCTACTCCTTCTGAAGCTAATCATAGCCATTAGCTGACTCTAACAACTTCTGTTGCTTGTAAAGCTTGTAACCAACGCAACTTGCACAAATAGCCCTCCTCTTTGCTGGTTGGTACCAACACAAACCACACTGCCCTGTTCTAGCCACACAACAACAGCCCCATCTACACATTATCATCCTTCTCTTGGGGGGCAGTTAGTGCTTCTTTGTTCCTGTGCTACCATTTGTTTCTTCTTAAATAAAAATTGAGCACTTTCCCCATATCTTTTGTTCAAAGAAAAAAGATAAACTGGAACAATGTTCTCTCCAAACCTCCTCCTCAGTGTTTTACTCATTTCTGGCATATAATGATGATGAATAAACTTTATTTTTCCTGGGGTGCATGGGAATGTGCTAACCACAGTTATATAAGGTAGGAAGAAAAACCTAAATATTTCCAGAAATGTGTGAAAAAAACAAAAAAATACCAAAGCAAAATGTAAAATTGATATTTTAGGGCCCAACATATGCCCACTGGGTAGCCAGCTCAAAACCTGGGTCACAGGAGACAAACACTTTAGTGTGAACAGTGCCGGCTCCTGCCAGGCTGAGGTGCTTACGCTGGTGACACCACCGCGAGGATCACTGTGTGCTCCGAGGGGTTCGTGGCCCGGATCGACCTGCAAAGACAAGGTTCCAAATCAAACAGGGTGACCTATGTTGCATTAAATAAACAGGGGACTTCTGTACACTGAAAGTGGCCCCAGACCTGTTCTCCCTCTGGAGAGACTGTCTGAGAACAGATAAAAGACAAGAAAAAAGATTCCCTTATGGATTAGAATAATCTCTTCACTTTTTAAAAATTGTGTTAACTCCCAGGCAATTATCTAACAGTCAGACTGCCAATTCTCCACTTCAAAAAATGGCAGATTCCATATGTGTGTGTGTGTGTGTGTGTGTGTGTGTATATGTATTTTTTTTTTTTTGTATCAAGGATTGAACTCAAGACCTTGTACTTGCAAAGCAGGCGGCAGAATCACTGAGCTAAATCCCGACCCCTATATTTTGTTTTTTGATTGAAAAAAATGGCAGTCTTATAATTCCTTAGTTATCAGTTTGGACTTGGGGAAGCTAACTGGGTTGGATCTTTTTCCTTTTAAAATAATAGTTTGGAAAGCCGACCTTATAATAAAATTTACAGCACTTGCTGGCAGACAGATACACAAATAGCCTATTAAAGATGGTTCAAAGAGATGTCCAAAATTTTCAGTTGTTCTGTTGTTTGTGCTTCAATACTTTAAGCAACTCAATCATCAGCTGGAGTGAGAGATGTTGCAATATGGTAACTGTCATTATAGAATATTTGTTGAACTAAGACCACCTGTGTATAGTTTACTCCCTAGTAATTTAACTGGATCAAAATGCTTAAGGACACAGAATGCTAAGGCCTGTGAGTCTTAGCAGATGTGCTCTGCCGAAGCTCAGAGTTTGGACTGTTCTGGTCAGGGGATCATGACATAGAGAATCTTTTTATAAAGGGCCACATTCTCGAATCACAGTGCAAAGCAGCACACTTGTTTTGGCCTGTTCCCTTGGTATGGTCTCTGAATCTTGAGATTTCTCAGGAAAAATCATTATCACTAAGGCCAAAACTACACCTGAGTGATTTGTGAAACATGTACTCGTTTCTCCCTAACTAGGAATTTCTGCTCCTCTCCATGTTAATGTATTTGTGCTATCTGTGCCCCACCACTGCCACCAACACAGCAGCTCCTATTGCTTCAACCTCTTCAATTCCAAAATTCCTTGGCTTTTCTCAAAGTATCTTCTTCTGCCCTACTTCTTCAGACCCCATTCTGTGTGTGCAGTAGGCACAGGAAAATGATCAGCTGCCACCTTGCTGGAAAGCAGGTCCCCTTGTGGGGTCAAAGGTGCTGGACAAGCTCTTCAGAGAGCAGGCCTGAGCTCGCAGAGGGCCAGGTCAGCACCTTCAGTGCTGCACAGACAACTTTCCACTCCACTTTCCTGAAGACCAGGTGCTGGCAAGGTGAAGCTACATTTGTTTTACCCTTAGAGCCCACTGGAAACAGATAAATACCAGTGCACATCAAATGAAAGACACACAGCAACTCAGGAACACTCTAGGGAAGCACTGTGCACTCCTCACCATCCCTGGCTTCTCCCACTCCGGGGAAGTGGTGTGGACACTGCCAGGGTTATGCCCCAGAGGTGGGCTTAGGCAAGGAGCTAAAAACACATGATGAACCCGAGTGGGCTGGAGAACGTCCCTCTTGGCTTCCACCTTTTAGGTTTATTCCTACTGCTCAGCTCTTCTCTCTCACCACACCAAAGGTGCTTGTGAGGTAAGAGAGACCTGGACCTCATCCTGAGTGAGAGGACTAAAGCAGGCCTGGTAGGGCACAGGAGGAGGGGCAGAATGATGGAGTTCAAGCATATTTGCCAGGCCAAGGCCCAGTCCGGCTCTGAGCCAGGGATCTAGGGTTACAGACAACAATAAAGGATGCCTGTCTTCCAGGAGTGTGCACTCCCCACTCTTCTCCTTCAGGAACATTTGCTAATGAGCATTCAGGAATCCTGTTGCCTCATTATGAGCTGCAATGGTCACCAAATGCCCAGCCAGGTACAGACATCTGGCCCCTGAACTGCAGGTTTACCCCTTATTTGCCCATGAGCTATGGCAGAGGCACCCTGGTTTAGACAACAAATCTATCTCTTTACATTCAAAGAAGAATATAAAGCTTAGTTACTAAATAAGGCCTTGGCTTGAATTATCTCCTCCTTTTTAACTGTTCAGTGAAAGTGTGTCTTAAATCATTCTATGTATGCCTAAGGACTGTGGCATTTATACTATAGAACCAAATGAAGGTTAGGAAAAAGCTAATACAGTACTTAGATAAAGGGCTCAATTCTATTCTGAGACATTTTTAGAAAAAAGAAAATATACTTAATAATAAAATAGCATCTAAATATCTTATATGTATATATGTGTGTGTGTATATGTGTGTGTAAGAAAATTCTCCTTTGAGAAAATGAGACTCTTTTTTTTAATTGAGTTTATTGGTACATTTTATTTCATTATTGGGATCCTGTACCTTTACATGACAGGTCTTGGTTCTCATTTTTTCCCCTTGTCCCTGCCCTCCCTTCACCCCTCCTCCCCTCCCCATTTACAAACACTTTATTTCCATTTTTTCATTTCCTCATATTTTTTTCTTTTCCCTTATTACCTTGCCCTTACCCTTCCCACTTTCCCTACACATTTAAGAAAATGAGACTCTTCAATGAGTAGCAAGGCACTGCTTGTGATAAGAAACTTCTCTTAATCCATTAATTTCCTTTCTGTACCAAAGTTTCTAAGGAGCCATTTCTCACCTTTCTTTTCACTTACTAATATTCAAGACAACACCAGCTTCATAAGTAATTGGCCTCTGTCCTGGTCTAGCTTTTCATTAGTGACTTCTTTCTGCCTGGCTTCTGCTAAATGGCTCAGCGCACCCTGAGCCACCTTTTGTGATTGTGCATTTATTTACACACAGGCTTGTGTTTGCTCCCCAGAATGCAGCATTTCTGTGAGCATGGGGTGGGGTGGGGGGCAGGCCCTTTGAAGACACTCTGCTGCTGCAAAGTGGCCGCCTTCCCTCTGTTTCTGGGAAGCCCGCTTCAGGATTGGCCCATCTGTGTGAGGCACGGAAAATCACACATTTCACACATTTCTGATGTTCATTCTGGGACAGAATAATGAAGCTGAAAATATCGGCTTTAGATCCAAACTCTATCTGTGTAATGAGAACTGTATGATTTTTTTTTTGTGTGTGTGAACAATCCTTAGGGTAGGAAGAGGGGTAAGCTGTAGTTTCGAGGTGGGCCCAACTCAGACCTCAGAATTCAGTACAACTCAAATGTGGAGACATAGGAAGGCGAGATAAGTGCACAGGGAGGAACTGTAGCTTTTGTCACAGAACCCTGGGTATGTTGCTTAGTGAGGTTGACATAGGTTATAGAAATATTTGGGATGAAACTAAAGATATCTATAAACAAAGCTTATTTTGAGCTATTCCGTGGGCAAAAGCACGATATAGAAGGAGCAAAGTACCTGCACACTGCTTCTGCATCGAAGTTCCGAGTCTGCCTATGGTCAATCACAATAATTTCATGATGCTTATCTAGAAAGCATTCGAGGGCTGATTCTGGAGTCCGAGCAATGTTGCATCTGTAACCAGCTCTGTCACAGGCCCACCAGAAGCCGTCACTCTGACTATCTTCCTTTGCAAAGATTAGTAAGACCTGAAACACAGAGAACAGAGCACCTTGGCAGAAGTCACAGTCCCCAGAGACTGCATCACAAAGAGGCCTGAAATATACCAGGAATACGGGGGCTCTGAGCACTTCCTGCACTCTGGGAGGGTGAGTCAGGAGGACTGCAAGTCTTAGCCCAGGCTGGGCAATTGAGTAACTCAGTAAGACCCTGTCTCAAGAAATAAAAAATGGGCCGGGGATGTCACTCCATGTGAAGACCCTAGGTTCAATCCCTAGCGCCACAAACACACATGAGGCTCTACTTGAAAGCTACCTGGTTTGACTGGTTGCAGGGGCTTTTAAACAAGTTACTGCATCTCTGTGGCCTACAGTCTTGGCTATGAGATATGATCAGAACATCAATTCACAAGCTAGTGTAAGACTTGAGTGATTAGACACGGACAGGTAGTCGCTCTGGTGAGGATTCCGTTTGCTGCAACTTCCAGTATTTTGAATTTCCTAATTAGCTTTATTTTCAAAGAAGACAAGCAGTGAGGTTATCAACAACATAATGAATGCAGGTAAAGTGATGACTTGCAACACGCATCTATTTCCCTCCAAGTCTGAGGCCCTCTCCACACACACAGCTCTCAAACACCTACGGAGTCACAGGAACATAAGGAAGTTCAAAACAACCTCAGAAACTCATTCAAACGCTCAACCCTTGCCAAAGTATGAAAAGAACAATCACGTGGCATGAAACTGATAGAAGTAAAATGGGGAAAGTTTGCCTCTATTTGTTCTCTGAAAAGCCCCACCCTTGGAATAGAAGGAAGCGATGCTTACAGTTTTTCACTGGGCTCAGGAACCCAGATTCCACACGAGCCAGAAAGCCAGTGATAGCCCCACCACCACCTAACCCACTCGTTGATTTATGCTCTGCCTCCCACACTGGAGAACAAAGCTCCAGGAGAGCGGAGACGTGCAGCCTTGTTCCCTGCTGCCCACCACCCCCATACCCCAGCCTGGCCCTAAGGAGGTACTCAGTAAATATTTGATGCTTGACTAACTACTTGTAGGATTTTTTCTTTTTTTGAGAAATACAAGAGGCTTTGTTATTTTTTGTTTTTGTTTTTGTTTGGAGACAGGATTGTAGATGAACAAAATAAAGTCTCCTTGATTGTCATGTGGAATGTTAATAAATGATAAGAACTACACAACATGCACCAGAGCCGAGTGCCGTGAGCAGGCAGAGGTGGGTGCGGGCGGAGGTGTGGAGGAGGTAGCCAGGAAAGGAATGGCTGTCCAGTGGAGAAGCCCTCAAGGAAGAACTCCAGGGGGCCCTAAGAGGCCACAACTGTGTCTGAGGTATTCCAGGGACCACAGGGGAGCCTGTGTGATGGAGGGAAGGAGAGGAGAGAGGCCAAGTTCATAGGCCAGGTCACAGTTCGGCACAAACATTTACAAAGATGAAGTTGCATTAATTATGCTGTTTTGTTTCTGTGTTCCTGAGGCTTTGACATCTGGGCCTTGCTGACAGCCTCTCCCAGGAGTAACCAATTCCTAGAGCTAGAAGACCATTCTCCTGGGAACTCAGCTTTCCTGTGCAGACCAATCCAGAGCCCACACCCTAAACACCTCTCACAGGATTCTTGAACTCTAGGCAGCTGTGCCCCTGCCCTACTCATTGAGGGCCAAGACCAGGTAATTTGGAACAACCTCTATCACCCAGACCACCTGAAACACCCAAATGAACCAATCCTAAGCCTGTCTGCACACACCATCCCACAGACACCACAGCAAAGCTCTGCCCTTGTTCTCCTGTCCCTCATCCCCTGACTGGCTGCATTGCTGTCCCGGGCAGCCCTGTGTGGTGTGGCATGACTCCTCATTTTTCCAATGGCAATTGTCCCCTGATCTGTTAGACTATCATTGAATAATAATAAAGTCCACATTTTAAAACAGGACTATCTATAATATAAAGACATGTACTAGAGAATTTCTTTGGGTATTATTTAAAATTCTTTCCATTTAAAAAGCATTGATTTAGAGAAACTGCTTTTTAATTATTCAAATCCTAAGCAAAGTGAAAAATCTATAGGGAGAAAAAAATATACATTTTTGAGTAAAACACTGTGGTAGTCACCTTTGTTAATGGTGCGATAGGATCCAACCAAAATCAGACTCTTTGTCTCCATCTCCAAGACCATAGCTGAGCTAATAATATTGTTCCTGGAAATTTGGAATCTGAGCAGAGGGACCCAGAGGTGGAGGATTAGGACCCATGGCCCATTAGTAGTACAGATATTAATGGAAGAATCTTAAATTCTCATAGTCAGTGTGTTCAGAGGTGCCCGTTCCCAAGGCATGGCTTTTCTTTGGACTCTTCCTTGGATTCTACAAAGAAATCCTGTACTTTCTATTTCTTATCCATTTATTTACATTTTTGCATAAAGCAGTGGTTACCAAAACCCCAAAACCATAAACACTTCAGCCATGCAGTCCTTCTTCAGCTTTAACATTTTACTTATCAATATTTATAGTTTAATTGTTAGACTTAGCCTTTCATTAATATTTACTGACCATTCACTAACGCAAATCTCATAACACGATTTTGCAAAATATATTTCCAAAAAGTCATCATTAAAGGCGTATATAGCTGAACTTTACTTCTAAAAAGGAAAAGCAAACTGACCCCTCTGCTTGCTGTAAATTCTATACTCAACATTCATTCAAAAATATTTACTGATGATGTATTACACAACAGGTTAAGAACTGGACTAAAAAGAGGACAGAGTCAGCCAGAGGCCAGAGGCCAGTTTCTGTCCCTCAGAGCACAGCAGGAAGCTGGAGAAGCAGATGGTTACAGTCAATGCACTAACAAGTGGTGGCCCCAGACTGATGGAGCGTGGACAGGAATCTAGGCAGGAGGAGGCAATTTGCCTGCAGTGATCTGACTGCACAGTTGGGAACCCAGCAAAAGAGCAGAAGATAAAGAACAGATCTGGGCAGAAGCCTGAAACAATGAGGAAACATTTTCCTTCTGGGGCAGACCTTGGCCAACTTGGGTTCTGTCCAGGGTCAGGACACAACTGTTGGCAGCCTCCCTTTGCATGACAGAACCAGATCAAAAAACTGATCAAACACAGCATTATCTACAAACAAGGTAAAATTATGATCATCCTGTGACATTTGAAGATTTTTGTCAAATCATTGTAAGCTCTTTTATTGTGAGTTATTCATGTACAGAGGAAAAAAAAATAAAACAAGTTTTCATTCAGCACCCTGTAAAACATTCTCATGACCGAGATTTCACTGCTTTACCAAGAGGTTATCAAGAATAGTTGAACAGTGCTTGCCACTCACTTCCAGCTGTATAAATTGGAATAGGAAGGAGGCATCTTTTTTCTGCCTTGGTGACCCTGCCATTCTCCTGGGCTTCAATCTGCTTCCGGCCTACTACCTTCTCTGCCCCCAGAGTTGTGCACCATCCCTGAGCTCCTTTGATGAGCGTGACAGGTTTTCCTGGCTTCACTTCCTCGGGGACATCTCCAGGCTTCTCACCACAAAAGTGTCCTCACGTAGAATGATAAGCCTGACTGTCCCTGGTTCCATGCCCTGAATCTCGAAGGCTGCTATGCTCTGTGAGCGTCCCCACAGCCAGCTGGCTCTCCTCACTCCATGTACATTCAATTTAAGTTCACTTATGGCATCATCTCTTTTCATTTCTTTGTTGCACCGTGGTCTCTGCTGGCTCACTCCCTCTCTTAGTGATCTATCCTTGCATAAAGTCATGTGGTTTATCTCTGGGAGTCAGGAAGCAACACAACTGCACACTTTGCTGTCTATTTCTAAGCTAAGTGTCAAATAGGCAGTGACCAATTGCAGAGCCTTTCAAAAAAATGGTATGGAAGGTCACTGACCTTGCTGCATATCTGTTGCTTATATAGTGACCTGTAAGAGTGAGAGAAAAGTTTGTAGTCTACACAGTTATTTACAGTTAATACATACAATAACTATAATGTGAAATACATTTTGGAGAGTTTGGTATTCTCTGATTATTTTATGAAATTTGTGCACCTCAGACCTGTACAAAACTACTTAGCCTGCTTTTCAAATATAACTTTAAAGACCTCAAACCATCAGGTAGAGCCTCTATTTCTAGAAAAACTTTGCCTACATCTTCCAGGAACCACAAAATTTAATTCATCTTTCATCACAAGCTCAAATGAGTCTAAGGGCTGACCCAAGGCTGGGTGAAAGAACACAAAACATGGGCCTGCAGGTGATGGCAGTGAACCAGAGGCTGCAACTCTCAGGCATTGTCAGCTGACCATTCAACCACCGATGGATGGGAGACCCCACAGATGAGCACAGTGACTCCTGGGCAAAGGAGTGGCAGAACTGGGGACTGCATCTCCCTGTTTCTCTTCCAGTGATCTTTTCCAGCTCCAGCCCATGTCATCTTGTCCTGCTGGAAATTCTTGAAGCCATTTCTTTTGCAAGTTTTATCAAGAAAAAGTTGAGAACTATCTTTTTGAGGATAGAAATAATCTGCCTAGACAGCTATATCAGTCAAGCTTTTCTGTCACAAATGCTCCACACCACAACCTGAAGGCGGAGAGGTCTATTTGACTCATTGCTTAGGGGAATTCAATCCATGGTTCGCTAGTTCCAAGGCAGAAGGGGCATGGTGGAAGGGGACGTTGTAGGAAAGCTGCTCAACCCATGGTGGCCAGGGAACAGAGAGAGAGAAGGAGGAGTTGAGGACAAGAATACAACCTTCCAGGTCACTCCCACAGTGACCCTCTTCTTCCAGCCAGGCCGTAGCTGTGACCAGCAGTCAGCTGTGAACTCATCAATGGACTCAGCAATGATCTCCATTTCCAGAAGCCCTGCCTCTGAACATGAGACTTTTGGGGGATATTTTAGATCTAAATCATAACAACAGCAAAATTATTTTCTCTGGTGAAGGCTGACTATGAAAAAGATGAAAACAGAGGTTTTCCTTAACTGAAACATGACATTATGTGTTCATTATTACTAGTGTTCTTTCTAAATACACATCACCAGATGGATTCCAATGTCTACTAGTAAACACCCAATTTCAGAATACTGTTTGTCCTTAAGCCTGACTCTGGCAGCAAGGAGATTCTAGACTAGACAACATGTATACATCTTGTAAGCTGCATCCACATCACACTAAGAAACTGGTCAGTGTGATGAGAAGAGCAGATAATTTAAGTGAAAATAAATTGGTCTGGGAAATTGCTTTAAGTGTTCTTAGAAAAGTGATGCTGGTAAGAGCTATCATTTAGTAAGAAATTTCTATTGACTAGCTATTATACCCAGAGCTCCTGAAATTAACTTTCTCATGTATTAACCCTCTACCAACTCTTTGGAGATGAGCACAATATCCATTTTACAGACAGAAACCAAGGCTTAGATGGTTAAGAGACTTGTCCATAGCCATCCAGCTAGCAGGACATGAACTGAGGCTGGCTCGCCCTCAGCATTAGGTTAAATAACTTCTCTTTTAGTTTTATTTTTAACCCTCTAAAATATTGGGTCTAAAATTCCTAACAACCCTGTGGCTCCATGAAACTGGCTGGTCTAGGTAGAAGACACAACCAACTCAGCGACAGCAATGACAGCGGGAAGGGATATGTGACTAGAGCAGGCTGCTTGGTCTGTAACTCTGTCATTTCACTGCGCATCTCCATCACAAGTTTCACTTAATGTGTGATGGTCAGCTCCCCATGAGGCCATGTGATCACCAGTATGTAAAACCCCCAATACACAATGGTTCCAGAAAAGTTCATGACCATACAATATGGAGTAAGAAGTGTTGTTTGTTTTGCGTTTTTATTTGTTTTGCAGTGGTAAGGATCAAACCCAGGGCCTTGGGCACATTAGGAAAGTGCTCTACTACTTAGCTATACCAGCAGCCCATGAAGAAGAAGGTTTGGAAGGAGATCTGCCTTGAGGAAAAATCCTTGATCACAGCTGTGGGGATCTGGTTCCAGGTTCACTGGAAATCCCAGTGTGAGGGAGTGAGGACAGGATTCTCCAAGCAGAAACATATTAGCTCTACACGCTGGGGAAATAAATGTGCTCTAGGCATTGATGAAGAAAAGGTCATTTGGTTTTGAGACAGTATCATGTTGATATGAATTTATTGCCCCATAGTATTTTCCTCACTTTTTATTTTCTTGCCAAGATTGGAAAATAAGACTTTCTTTGAGTCACATCCACTCACCCATGAGAGATGTGCTCTTGAGCACCCTGCTGCCCTGCCAGCCCATTCCACTCCCACCCATGTGCTGCTCCATGTTCCTGTCCCAGTTTCCTCGGTAAACTCCAAAGTGCACAATCCAGCAACCACATCCTGTAATATTCTTACCAAGCCATTTCCTCCCAAGCCCTAAGGGTTCTTGGCTGATGTTGCTAATTAATATTTTTGGCATTCCAGTGAAATAACAGAGCAGATATTTTTCTTCAAAGGAAAACAAAACAAAACAAAACAAAACAAAAATGAAAGCACTAGGACGTAGTGATTTTTCCAAGACATTTGCGAAGTTGATAGCAGAAGCACAATACGTGCCTCTAAAGTCAGAATTTATGAACAATAAAACCTCCTTTCCAGACGCTGTGTGTGGGCAGGGAGCACATCACTTCCCCACCCTTGCAGCTCCTAGCATGGGGCCTTGCACAGAGTAGGTGCTCAGTAGATGCTGAGTGGATGGATCAAGGAACCAAACCATGTTTCAAGAAACCAAGTAGTAAAGACAGCCTAGATCCTAAGTTGTACTTCTTATCATTTTTTCAGAATCTCTTAATTCTTTTTCCAAACTCAGAGAGGGATTCTTGGCCAGAGGCACTGCTGTTGTCTGGGGCCAAACTCATGCAGTGGGAACAGGTGAGGTACCCAGCAGCACTGCGATGCTACAGCTCTTGCTTAGGGTGGTGGATTTGCAGAGTTCAATTTATTATTACATTTCAAAGACTGTGTGTAAATCAAAACTATTTCTATACACTTTGATATCAAATGTAATAAACTCAAAATTACAGACAACTGTTTTACAGTTAAGGAGGAGTGGCATTATCAAGGGATATTTAAGTCCTACAAAGGATTGTTTATTTGAAAGGACAGAAATATAACTCAAGACTTTGTTATAAAATGTGACTCTTTAGCATGTATAATATATGCATGCATGTATTATGTAATATAAAATCAAATAAAAATGAAATATATTCATCATCAAAGCTAGAGTTATGGAAATGAATAAAAGAGCTATAGATTGGGAGAAAATGTTCTCAATATCTGACAGAAGATCTGTAACAAGAATATGAAGAAGGTAAAACCCTTCTTCAGTTCAATAACTTTAAAAAATTAACTCACTTAAAAAGAGACCAAACATCACATTACAAAAAGTAATAGAAAATGGCCAATAAGCAAATAAAAATGTGTTCATCATTAGTCACAGAGAAATGCAAATTTACATCACAGTAAGAGTATTACAGTATTAATGCAAGATAGTAGCTAAATTAAAAAGACTGACAAGATCTAATATTACCAAGGATTTGAAGTAATGATATTTCATGTCACTTATAAAGGTATAAAACTGTGTAACCACTGTGGGAAAAGTTCTGGAAGTATTTTAAAAAAACTATATATCAGTTTTTGAAATATTCTTAGGCAAGGGGAAAAATAATCCATATTTGGAAAGGAAGAAAATAATCTTGCACATAGAAAATGCTAAGGAACATACAAACATTAATAAACACTAATAAATGAATTCAGCAAGGTTATAGGAATCCAGATGGCTAAAACAACCACAAAAAATAAGAATAAAGTCACTACCAAAACTTACTTTAAAGCTGCAGTAATCAAAAGAGTGTACTACTGATATAAAGACATACATATAAATCAATAGAATAAAATGGAGAATCCAGAAATAAACCCTTATATTTATGATTAGTTGCTTTTTAGCAAAAGTGTCAAGGCAATTCAATGTGGAAAGAAGAGTATTTTTCACAAATGCTCCTTGGACAACCAGCTATGCCATGCAAAAGAATGAAGCTGGATCCCTACCTCATGCTGTATACAAAAACTAACTCAAAATGGACCATAATGCTAATGTAAAGGCTGAGACTATAAAGCTCTTGGAAGAAAATAAAGAAGAAAATCTTAGATTAGGCAATGGGTCCTTAGATAAGACATCAAATGATATTAAATGAGAAAAACAAATTTAGAATGATTACAATGTGACATCTTTCAAATAAACCTTAAAAATATGTGAATATTGTTAATGGACACATGCATACAATAAGCGTAAGTATCTAAATATGTATCATACTGGTTACTTTGGAAACAAAAGAGAGTGAAAGAAATAAAGGGCTTAAACTATGTCTGCAACATTTTGTTTTTGAAAAAATGTTAAAACATATAGGGTAGGTATAATATCAATATGTGAGAGCAGTAGATATGAGTGCACACATGTACCTCTGAATATTTGAAATATCTTACAATTTGGCAAATTACTTTTTAAAAGAGTGAGACCTCCTTATGAGCACTCATTACCAGTGCAGCACAAGGCAAAATGAAAGTAAATGAGATTGATGTAAAATTACAGTAGTCCACTCAAGAAGTAGTCTGGAAATTGCTTTGGAAATAAATCCCTGATACCAGCTCCTTTATTTGTCTTTGCTTTTATTCAAATCTGTAGTACAAAGTACGTGTCTTTGGGATGATTACTGGAATTTTCCACTTGTTTATGTTCTACACTAAGAGTTGTGGTTTATTTTTCTCTCTCATTCTCTCTCTCTGTTCCTAAATTTGCTTTCATCAAGTTTTCTCAAGCTTAATCTCTTCCTTTTGCTTTTCCCCCCCTAGTTTTGCTCTTCCTTTACCAAGCATTTATAAACCATTTTTTTCTTTTCCCACTTGCTCATAACTCAAACAGTGCATTTCCTTAGTTTGCTTGTCATGGTCATCTATACATTGGCTGCCTTGTCTACATCTTGTAGGCATTTCATGTATCCCAAGCACAAAACAGGCTTCTAGGTACTGGCAAAATAAAAGGATAAAACTCACTTATTTAGGGCTAAAAAGCTGATTTACCTGCCGATGAGCATTTTAAAATTATTTCAGCAGCCACAAACACCCTTATATATGCTTCACCGATAGAAGCACAGAAAGCTGGACAGACTGCCAGCAAGACATAGTTGCTGCCATTAGGATCAGCTCAGTCCTGAGGTAGCTGAGTCTTCTGTCCTGGGGCTCTGGTTCCTGCTGGGACACAGAGTCAGGAGGCTGACTGGCTTAGGTTACACGGGACGCGAAAAGGGAGACTTTCACGGTTCTGTTTCCAAAAAATAACAACTACCACCACTGAGCCCTTTCCACTGTCAGGCCCTGTTCTAGGCACTTGGTACTGTTTTATGTAACTTACAGATCCCTATGAGAAAGGCATTGTCATCTCCACGCTGCAAACAGGGCACTGGCATAAGAAAATGAAACCATGCATGCCAGCTAACCCAGCCAACGACAGCCACAGCCCAGCTTCATCCCAGCCTTGCACCACCACACCACTTCTTCCTTTCCTGGTGGCAGCATGATATAGGGCAGATTAAATTCTTTTGGTGGAAGAATTGTTCTTTCTCACAATCCACCATGCAATTTACTCACTATACATGTTCTCCAAATGGGGCAACATTTAAGTCTTTAAGAAAGGAAAAAAAACTAAAAGGCCAGGGAGTTAGCTCAGTGGTGCTGCACCTGCCTGGTAAGCGCAAGGTTCTGAGTTTGATCCCCGGTACCTGAAATATGACATTTACAAATACATGTACATACATACTATGGAAGGGCACAGATGGCCATCTGCCATTATAGTCATATTACAGCACCCCTCAGACAGGGCTTCTGTAGTACATGTCCCGACCACAGAACGAGGCGTACCTGAATAGGGTCCTGCGTCAGTCTCATAGGCCCAACGCGCACCTCTGCAGGAGACACCTGCGAAATAGAGGACACCGCGTGAGAAGGGTCAAGTCACAAACCACACAAGTTGGCAAATCCTCGCACAGTTCATTATGCTATATCACATTTAGATTCTAAATGGGAGGATATAATTTATCCATCTGGAGACAAGTTATAAAATACCACGGACGGCACAATCCTTGCTTTATAAAAGAATACATACATATATAT